TTTTCTCACCTTTTGTGGAACATAACTGGTGTCCTCAGATAACTTCTACAGTAGTAAAGAAAAGAATAAACAATATCTTCTTTCTAAACTATACTGTGTGTCTGTGTTTAGAGAGCTCCTAAAATCGGGTCCCAGAGCAGACCCCCCAAATGGTGTCACCCCTGCGATGGGGGGATCTGGAGGGGTTTGCAAGGGGGGCAGAGCCGGGACCCTCTCAGCCCTAGGGACAGCTCGGCCACTGCAAAAAAACTCGGAATTTGTTTCAAACCACCTGAGAAAATGTCAGTTTTTCAACCCCTGGACAATTAAGTGAAGGAAAGCCCTGCAGAGCCCGGGGCTATTTCACACCTCCTGAGACCCCAAGGTGGCAACGTGTCATCGGCACCTTCCAGACCACAGAGGGACAGGTTCTAAATCCAGGCTGGAATATGTTTTACAGCTTATGGGAACTGACAGGAACCCAGCAAAGTTACAGCAGGAACACAATCAAGTTACAGCAGGAACCCAATGAAGTTATGGTGTGAGACAGAGAGCAGCGCTCGGTTCCTCCTTGTTGGAGGTTTTAGGCACAAACAACACAACAGGACTTGGCAGCTGCCTGACGGTTTCTATCCAAAGAGTACAGAGCTCTGACAACATTAAATCTGAGAAAATAACTGTTTTATGGATGGGAAATTCAAAGCAAAAGTGACAAGTGGCATCGAAGGTCTCAGAGCATCGGGGACAGCACAGGGAGAACTGAAGAGTACAGAGCCCTGACAACATTAAATCTGAGAAAATAACTGTTTTATAGATGGGGAATTCAAAGCAAAAGTGACAAGTGGCATCAACAGGTCTCAGAGCACCAGGGACAACACTGGAGAGAGATTTTCCCAGCACACGTTGGGGCAAGAGTTTGATAATACACCACCCAGGGGTTTGTTTGTCCCTGCTATGGTTGGACCCCACTTTTGGACAATCCATCCCCCCAGCCCCGCAGGTCAGGCAGGTGCAGAGAGGGGGATGCCAAGGCTCGGGGTGGCAGGAGGGCACAGAACACTGTGTTGTCCCCTGTCCCTGCCCCAGCCCCTCGCCGGGCAGGCAGGCGGGTACCAGGCTGGAGGAAGAGGAGGAGGAGGAGGAGTTAGTGCTTGCATGGGCAGCCTGCCCAGGCAGCATTCCCAGCTCGGGCAGAGCAGGTGGAGGGACGGAGGGGACGGACATGGAGTGGCTGAGCCAGCGCTGCCCGTTGCCATCCTCTGCCCAGGGCTGGCCCCGGCCAGGCCGGGGCACTTTGCTGCTGGTAAGTGGGATGGGGGGGCTCTGGCACCGGGATGGGGATGGGGGGGACACGGGTGACCCTTTGGGGACATCAACCCGCACCAAACAACCGTGGAAATACCTGCCTGTACCTTTGTAAGGGAACCTCTGCACGGATCCATCTCGCAGGAGGAATGTCCTCCCCGTCTCTGCGGAGAGCAAAGCAAATTTCCAAGGAGGTTTGTTTTTTTTTTTTTTTCCTGCTTGCTCTCAGGAAGCTCAGGGCAAACTCAGCGTTGCCACGAGTTGTGTTTGGGTGGTGTTGTTTCTTGGGGTTTTTTTTAAACACAGTCTCATCAAAACTAGGCAGAAAGTCCTAACGTGGTGATTCTAAAGCTGTTTTTAGTTCAGCAAAGCCAAAACAAATATTGCAGAAATCTCCGAGTCTCTCTGTCATTTTGCTGTTCAGTTCTTTTCAGTGAAGTGCTTAAAATCTGACAGGGGTGTTTTCAGTTTTGTTCAATATTTTGGCAATCACGAGTTTATTTGGTTTATCAGGCAGAAATCCTGAAGTTTCACTCCTATTTTCCACCATCCCTTAGCAAATACAATTATTCTAGGGGAAAAAAAAAAAGGGGTGGAGGTCTTTTATCTTTCTTTTCAGAGATAAAAAGGAGGGAAACATCCCCCCCCCCCAAAAAGAGTGCTCATATTTGTACTAATATTCAATCATAAATGGTCCTGGGGATTTATGCACATACATCTTCCAAGAAGATTAATGATCTCCAGGCCAAACAGGTTGGATTTTTTTTCTGAGCCAGGAGCATGATTACATTTTAATCTGGAAAAATAGGTACACCAGCGTATCCCTGTTTGGCTTGCAATTCTCTGAGTAGCTCCTGGGATTTGTTGTATGTTTTTTAAATGGCTTAATGGGAAAAAAGAGCACAGAAGGAGCTCTAAAAATTATTACAAGGAACCTTGTGATAACAAAGAATATTTCCTCAAACGGACTGGAAAAGAGGAGACAAGCAATAGAACACATCAGTCATTTTCCAAATGGAAAAGAGCTCTTGACTTTGTGGTGACAAGAGAGATTTTTAATTCAATTTTTTTTTTTTTAAAAGTATTTGACATTGACACTGTAACGGGAGGATTTTCAGAGGACAAAGGAGAGTGGAAATGAGAGGGGAAAAGGAATATATTCTTAGTCTTATAAGCATGTTTTAATCACTGTAGCTGAACCAGGGCCAGATGCTGTTTGTGTCAAAAACAAGACAAAAGACAAAGGGAAGAGCAGCTGTGAGACCCTGCGAGTGCTGCAGCCCTGGATGGCCCCATCCCTGCCTGTTCCTCAGCACTCCAGATTCCTCTCCCTCTCCAGCAGCATCCCTGCTGAGATAATGATATATTTTTATGAGTCTGTTTATGGCATGTGAGCACAAGCAGCAGCCACGGGGCTTGCCAGGAATCACAGCTAATGCACAGCAAAACCCACTTGTTGCTGTGCCCTGCCAGGCCACGGGGAGAGCAGTGCTGTTTGTGCAGCCCTGCAGACCTGGGATGTGCCATTAGGATTTCTGGGCCCAAAAGGATCCAATTTTACTGTTAGTATCAGGTAATTTGGATGAAATGAACTTAAAAGCTGTCTTGAAGTCTTGCCCTCCCTTGCAGGCTGTAGCATGGCCTGGGTGGGCTGCAGAGCAGCCATGGCAGAGGAGAACAATCATCCTGGGCTGACAGGGCAGGATTAGAGCTCTCCAGGTGCACAAGCTGGGGCTCTGGTCTGCCCTCAAGCTCCAGCCCAAATCTGTTTTCCATGGACACACTATGTGACACACTGCTCTTCTCCTTCCCACATCCCCAGGGAGGCAGAGGGCCCTGGCCCCCCATTTCCCAGAGGGATGGATGTGCCTCACTCTTGCCACATGGCTGAAGGGTGGCTGCAGGACGTGTCCTCAGCAGGAAAGATGTGCTTGGTGTGGGAGCCGTTCCCTTCTTGTTCCTTTTTTTTTTTTTTTGCATAGAAATGTGTATTTATTCTTCTGTGGAAAACCAGCCCTGGCTGCTGAGCTGGGGGGGGGCTGTAACCCCTGTTAGTCCAGGGGTGACCTCCCACAGCCGAGGTCTGGGCACCTCTGGGCTGATACAGCCTCCAAACTGCCCCTCTCCTGCCCCAAGCTCTTGGCACAGCATGGGATTGTCCCCTTTGGAGTGGAATTAATCCCTTTATGAGGATGTTCTCCCCTAAATCCCAGCTGGTCACTGCAGTGTGGAAAGGAGCCTGGAAACGTCCCTCCGGCCACAGACAATGTAAATGCTGAGTTTTCCAAAGTGTAGTGTTTCCCCTCCCACCCTCACCGGGGTTCTTCCCACCCCCTCTGGTGTCTCCTGGAGGTGCTGACGCTGGCAGTGCTGATGTACCCACTGCTGAGGGGGCTGGCCCTGCAGCTCCACTCCGCCCTCACCGGCAGCTACATCCCAGGGACCAGCTCCATGGCCTTCATCAACTGCCTCAACGAGCAGATTGCCAAGGATATTGCAAGGTATGGAGATGTCTCCCCTGCTCGTCTGCTCCTTGTGGAATAAAGCTTTCCCTTGTCCCTCGAGAGGATCTGCACCCCTGCGTATTTTGCATTTTGAGGGTGGGGAGGACCTGGCACAGGTTGCCCAGAGAAGCTGTGGTTGCCTCATCCTTGGCAGTGTCCAAGGCCAGGTTGGACAGGGCTTGGAGCAACCTGGGCTAGTGGAAGGTGTCCCTGCCCATGGCAGGGGGGTAGAATGAGGTGACCTTGGAAGGGTCACCCTTCCAATCCAAACCATTCCATGATTCCCTGATACCAGAGCATCGCTCCTTTTCACTGACACTCCCTCTGTGCCACAAACACCCTTACCAAGAGCTGTTCTGTCTCAAAGAGAGCTGACAGTTGCCTCTGAAGTCAATGCCACGGTAACATCAAGTAATTCTCAATTTATTCCACTGCCTCTCATTTTCAAGGCCCATTTTAAAGCCACGGCCCTGAGTCTCTGTGTCCTCAGATGGACTAAGCCCCAGCCCCTTGTTCTCTGACGTGCCACAGTTTGTCTTCTTCTCTAGAGCAGCAGACAACAAAATGCCAGGAGGGGGATTTGTAGAGAGGGACAAAGCACATGCCATGCAAATACAAAAAAAGATGAAAGGAGGTCTACAACAAACACTGGTGAGGTCCCACCCCGGATCTGCAGAAACTTCAGGGAACGAGGGCTTTACCTCCATTTTTTTTCACTCTGTTTGAATATATGAGGTACTTTGCATGATATTTTGCATGCTGAGTTTTTTGCACACATCTGTCAGTGCTTGACTCAATAGATGGTTTGTTCAAAGTCCTGAACCTGTGTTGACTGGGGAAGTGTTTATGATGGACCGTGAAGTTTCCTGCAACACCTCCTGTGCTGTTTTCCCTGCTCCCCTGCTGCTTGCCAAAAACCCTCCTGCTCCAGTAAAGTGCTCCCAAACAGTCGTTCAGGAACTGACAGGCTCCTGAAAGAGATTTTGTGTCACCTTAAATACTGCAACTGTATTAAGAAATTCAAATAGAATTATGTCTGCTCCGTGTCATCTAAAAAAGGGAGTAACTGTACATGGCTGGTGAAAAGAGCCTCAGTGCCTGAAAATGCCTCATCTTAACAGCTTTGCAAACATTTTCCACTCTTTGTTCCTCATCTTGCAGGGAAGGGAGAGGAAATAAATCACTCCCCATTGCTGAGATATTTGTACTTTGGTTGTGGTTTTACTGGTGGAGTGATTGTTCCTTTGTTCTGGAATTTGGATGGATGAGCCATAGTTGTAGGGGATGACACAGGGCTTTATGCTCATTTTCCCACACACCTTTTTCCTGTGCTGTTTGTTCTTCCCTTGCATTGCTCAGTGCAGCACTCGCTGATGCCTCGGTCTGCAAGGGAATTTTCCACTGGTTTTAGGGAAAAAGGTTCAAGCTTTGTGAAAGCAGAATAGCTACAGGTAGAATTCAGCACCTGAAGACCTTCTCACCTCTCCCCTGTGCCCACTGGGGGCAGTTGACCCCCTGGGTTGTGTGTTGTGGCCACTGCCCCTCACACAGCCTACCCCACTCCTAATCAGCCTGTCAGCCCCCACTGCTGCCTTAGGTCTGCGTGTATCATTTGCTTTGCTTTCCTGCTTATTAATATTTAATCTGACTCAATTCCAATTCTATTGGGAGGCAAGGACAAAGAAACACACATTAAGTGCCCAACCCAAAACTATCATGTATTATGCAGTCGTTTTCCACAGATCACATTCAGCTTCTTATAATGTTCCCCTTTCCCATGGTGGCCACTTTTTCCTGCTCAGCTCTCTAGAACCAAGTTCAGGATCTCAGTTTGCAGGGGCAGAGCACCCAAACTGAAAGGCTCCTGTGCTAAAGCGACTTGGAAGTTGCAGGCAGCAAAAACGAAATGATTTGTGCCATGTGTGACACGACAGTCACAGCAGGGGTGTCTCTGCTCGTGCTGCTGCAGTTTGTTGGTCTGAAGATTAACTCAAGATGCTCCACCAGCACTAAATGCCTGGAACTGCCCACACATGGTGAGAGCAAACAACCCTGAGCCTCCTCAGACGCTCTCCTCTCTGGCCATGGTCCCCTGAGCCACCAGTCCATGTCCATAACCTTTGTCTGTAAACATTAAACACCATCCCAGGAGTTATCCATGTCCAGGCACTGGTTCTCCAGTGAACTTCTGGAGAGGCAAGATGTTGTAGGATCATTGGGAAGGGCTGCTTTCCTCCCAGAAAAGAGCTCCTTAGAGTTTGTTTGTAGTCTCCTCCAGGTTGTACCATGCCTTGAATGTAAGGATAAAAAAACTTCAACTTGCTCTGAGCCAAAAACATCCTGGAGAGAGTTTTGAATTAGAGCAGTAATGACTTGGAATGGGTTTAGTTCTTTACCTCACCAAGAGTTAATTTTTGTAGGTTGTTGAATCAAGCCCTCCAATATCTGATAACTAATGTCTCCTCTGCAGTTTAGGGTCCTCCAGAAGTTAAATGTTGCATTGCCAAAGCCCTTGGTACGAAGTAGTTCCTGGGGAGGTCAGTGTTAAAGAAAACCAAAGGTGAGGTCACTGAGTGCCCCAAATGAGCTCCCTGCAAGGGCTGGGGCTGCATCTCCCTGAGAAGGGCCAGGCATTGCTGTGGTCACAAAACACATCATTTGCCCCTTTCTTCTAAAAATCCACCCTGAGATGGCTTCAGTACTCTGTAATCACTGAAATATCACTTCTGCTGGCAGAGCCAGGCAGCTCTGCAACAACAAACCAGCCCACAAGTAACGGAGGCTGCCGGAGGGAAGGAATTTGTTTGGGCTTCAGATTTCTAGGACATTTTGGGTAGAAAAACCTTGATGTTGTTAATTTAACAAGATCCACATTGAGGCTGCTCTGTGAGGAAGAGGCACAGTTTGACAGTGTAAATACATGAGCTGGAGACAAACCCCTTCCCGTCCATCCCAGCCCTGGTTCTTGTGGCCCCACAGCTCAGTCCCTGTCCTGGTGTCCCCACAGCCATGGGGGGCACAGGGATGACACTGGGCAGGGTCCTGGCACCACCCAGGCCAGGAAAGAGACCCAACTTTCCTTCTTGGCACAGAGGGACAGCAGGGATGGTCCCAGAGCACTGTCAGGAGGGCCTGAGCTGAAGCAGCTCCAGCTGAAGGTCACCTTTGCCTCAGCTTTCTCAGGGTAATAAGTAACCCGAAATTCCATGTCTCCTTATGTCACAACTGCTGGTGGCAGTCCAGGGCAGCATGAGGGAATATCTGGGGTTGGGCACTCAGCTGGGTTGGCACTGACTCCCCTCCTGTCTCCCCCAGGGCCATCATGGACAAGAAGCTGGCTGCCCAGGTGAACATCCTGCCCAAGAGCTCAGCCTTGTAAGTTGGGCTCAACATTCCCCTGTGGAGGAGGCAAACCCAAGCTCTCCTGGGAGGAAGGGAGGAGGTGGACACCCCATGGCCCTGGGCAGAGGAGGCAGTTTCCAGAAGGCTGCTGGGTCTTTGTTGGTGCAGATGGGGGAGAGGAGCCTCACCGTGCTCCAGGCTTATTAAGGAGTGCAGATGCTCCAACTGCCCGTGGGGACCATTTGTTTATTGGTTCCTTGGCTACAGGGAGATCCAGCAATCTAGGATTTATGGTCCTGAGGACACAGTGCCTGTTATTAGAGGCTCTAAAAAGAAGCCCAGAGAGGGACCAGAAAAGGCCTTTACAATCTTAAGCAGCACTTTCAGGAAGGAAGACAGACCAGTATCTTTGACCTTGAAACACAACCTGCTCTGCAGGTGCCCTCAGCTGTCCACACAAAGGGATTGCACTTGTAAGAGGGGTTAAAGAGCAAAGCCCCAAACCAGCTTTTTCCTCATAGGAACACCCTGGCCCTGCCAGAAGAGGGGAGCAGATCCCACCTCAGCCTCCCTGCCCCAGGGGTCCTCACAGTGCACCCCTCAGGCTCTCCCATAGCCAGGCACAGGCTGCTGAATTAGGGCAAACCCAATGATAACCCTCTTCCCCTCGTCCTTCACTCCCCATGAGCCCCAACAGCCTGAGCTGAGTTGCTCCTGCACAGCCCTGGCTGCTTCAGCTGGTTTCTGCTCCGGGCCCTGCTCGGGAGACACCGCGACGCCTCCGAGTCCTCCCGGCGCAGGAGCCCAGCACGCAGATGAAATCACCACGGCCTTCTGGCAGTGCTTGCAAAGGTCACATCTGACTCATGAGAAGTGCATCTCCTCTCCTGCAGGGAAGGAGGGGAGGAAAGCAGGATGCTGCCGTGCTCAGCCTCCCAAGCACAATCCCTGCAGGCGCCGTCCCGCGGCCGCTGCTCAGGGCAGGGCCACCCCCACAGACCCCCATAGACACCCCAATCCCAGCAAATTTGCCCTGGCATCCCCCCTGGGCAGCTCTCTGGAGGCTGGCATAGCCAAGGAGTCTCTGGTCCATAAATCTGGGGTGCTCAGTCACGTGCTCAGCACTTTTGGGGCCAGCGATGCTTCTTGAGCCACTTTGTAAAGAAACGGCCACGTGCAAGAAAGCACCAAGCAGGGAAAATAACCCTGGAGGGCCTGGCAGGGCTGCAGACAGAGCTGTATCTGCTGATGCTGCTTTTCTTTTAAATCCAGGTACTTCTGGAAAGGGGAACTGGAGGAATCCACTGAAATATTGCTGGTAAGGGATCGTTCCCTACCTCACAAAACGCCCATCACAAATGGCCCCAGCAAGAAAGGGCTGCAGGGAGGTTGGGGGAGGGTGGCACCAACCTGTCCGTGGTTTGGAATGTACCCAGGGATCCCAAACACCTGTCTGCGGGCATGGCAGCGCTGGATGGGAGCAGTGGAACTGCAGGTGCAGGATCTCTCTGTCCCTTTCCAATCTCCCTTGGGTTCTGTTTTGGTGTTTTTACTCTCCACAGATAGTGAAAACCAGGACGTCCAAAATAGGGGAATTGTCCAACTATGTCAGGTGAGGCTCTGGCTCTGTGGGAGCACTGGGGATCCAATCCAAGGTAGGTTGTCCTCTCCTGCTCGGGTTTGGGAGTTCTTGAGCCCCTTCCCACCCAGGGTGTGGTGAAGTGCTCCCACTGTACCTGTGAGCCAGAAAAACCCAGAGGTGGTATCAGCAAAAAAGAAAAGGTTGGCAGAAATACCAACTACTGGGCTTCAACCAGCCCCTCCATGCTGGATACGAGGAGGGATCCCCCTTCTCCTCACACAGGTTATCCCTGGCAGCCTCCTGGCAGGATTTCCTGCGCTCCCCAAGCCCCGAGGGGCGAGCACAGCCAGCTTTGGGCCAGACCCCCGGCAGTGGGCTGCTGCCTGTGGTAAACCCCAAACTCAAAGAGAAATTCCCACATGGCAAAAAGAAGCTGTGGGTGCTTTGAAGTCCGTGGGGAGTGCAGGGCAGGGCTGGGATGAGCGGCTGGGAGCCGAGAGCTCGGCTTCCTGCGCCGGGAGCAGGGCGGGACTGTGCTGACACTGCTCCTCTGCGGCTGTTTCCACTTTAGATCCATCCATCCCTTTGAAATCCCTGAGATCATCAGCCTGCCTATTGACCAGGGAAACCCTCTCTACCTCAAATGGATCGAGGAAAACGTCCCAAGGGACTGACTGGAAAGGTCACCTCAGTTTGGGGAGACCGGGCGGACCCTGCTGAGCCACGCGGGTCTCCCTGGGCAGGCAGGACCTACCTGTGAGGAGGCAGCTTCTGCCTTCTCAGGTTTGCTGTAGCACAGGAGTTTGGGATTGGGAATTTCGTTTGCACTGGAAACATCCCCTCCTTGGCCTGACCAGGGAGGACTGAGCAGCCCAGAGCTGGTGCAGGCTGAAGAGGGAAAGGCTGCTCCCTGCACCATTGCGGATGAGGAAACAGAGATGCTCATGTCAGGACGCATTTGGGGGCTCTTTCATGCTGCCAGCAGCAAATTCCTTATGGAAGCCATGGCCTGGCAGCCCCTCCAGTTCCATGAACCCTGCCTGGCCCCCCTGCTCGTTCCCAGCATCCTGCCCCGCTCTGCCTCCCGCTTCCCCAGCCCCAGGCAGCAGGATGTGGCCGGGCACCCCGCGACGTGCCGGCTCCCGCCCTCTCCTGCTGTCAGGAAACGTGCTGCTGGAGTCTCACAGAACCCAAGGAAGCAGCAAACTCCAGCAGATGCTGCAAGGAACTACCAGGAGCCACAAGCAGCACATGTGTGACCCTGCCCTGCCATGGAGCTGGGGAGAGCTGGGATGAGCTGGGGAGAGCTGGGGAGAGCTGGGCAACTTCCATGGCCAGTCCAGGGAACCCAAGTGCCAACAGGACCAGGACATTGCCCCAGCCCTGCATCCCTTACCCCAGCCCTGCATTCCTTACCCAGCCTGAACGGTGGCTTTTTGCCCAGGCCAAGCTTAACCTTGTAAAAAGATGCTCATTAATAGTTTAATGGGATATAACTTATAGAATATTGAGGATTTATGTGACTGGGAAGGGAATAAACAGCAGCGTTTCTTACCTGGGCAGGCTCAGGTGTGGTCACAGTTTGCTGTGTGGTGTCCTCAGTGAACTGGGCAGGAGGAAAGGCCCGTCCTGGGCTTGCAGTGACTCCCTCCAGACCAGTGCTGACAGATGCTCCCACCTGGCTCATTCCAGGTCCCTGGAGAAACAATCCAGGGCATTCTGCAGGCACTGGGAGCTGTGCCTGTGGGCTTGTGTGGCCCCATCAGCCATGAGAGGAAGCAGGAGGAAGGCTCACAGGGGCAGGAAAGAGAAGCCAAGAGGAAAAATGGTCTGAGCTCTGAGAGGAGGAACCTTGGCAGTGCCAAATATGAAGGAACAGGGCACCAGCAAGGCCCCTTGTCTGGCAAAAAGAAACAGAGCACACGAAGGCAGCACCACCCCCCCCAGACCTGCACGGCCCCCAAATCTAAGCTTTGTTTAGCCCTGTCAGGGCTAAGTGTGCAGTGGGCCAGTTTTAGGCTAAGATTAAGTGGATGGGGCCATTTGGGACCTCACCAATGAAGGCAACCCCTCTCTACAAAACTCATCCCTGCAAGGGGTGTCCCTGTCCCCCGCTGTTCCCTCACTGCCCACCCTCATCCCTTCCCACCCTTCTGTCCCTGTGCTTCCCAGCAGCACCTCCCAGGGGAGGACACACCTCACCTGGCACAGAACACGACCCAGCAGCACCGTGGTGGGCACCGGGCATCCCCCCAAGAGCCCAAACCCAATAATCCTCACACTACAAAATAAAAGTGATGTAAAAAAAAAAAAAAAAAGGACTTTTTAATTGTACATCAGAACATCAGACATATTAATTACAACCTGGGTATAACGAGAGTTGGTTATTACAAGCAGCAACCTGAACTCAGAAATCAGAAGGTGCACAGAGTCGTTATAATCTCTATTACAGCGAATGCAAAATATACTCTGCAACAAAAATACTTTTAAAGGCTCCACATTCAATTTTCTGCAAGAAGCCAGGAGGGAATGAGAGGGAACAGAGAGGAACCAGAGCCACATCTTGTGGGTGCTGCCATGACTGTGATGGCCATTGGCACATCCCACAGGAATGACCCTGCTCGGCCCTGGCACAGCCCTTGGCAGGGGCTCCACAGGCACAGGGCTCCAGAGGCACTCGAGGAAGGGAAATCTTTTAAGTGATCCTTTGGTGACAAAGCCAAGGCAGGACTGGGAGTGATCCAGCTGCTGGACCCCTCCCTGCCAGGGATGGGGGTCCTGGCAACACATATCCCTAAAGGAGGGGGTCCCTCCGGAGATGCTCCCCTCTGGATGAGCCGGGATGCAGACCCTGAGGGTGCCAAGCACTGCTCCCCAAGGCACATCTGACCCCTCAGCCCAAACCATCCCATGGCTGGGAGCTGCACAGAGCCTTCTCTCCCAAACCTGTCCCTGCACAAGGGGCCAACAGCTTCTCCCCCAAGCACAGCACCAGGCACAGGGCACTGGGCAGCCCCGAGGAAGGAGTGACAGTGCTTTGACCCAGAGCCAGATACTCAGGCTCCTTCTCTAGGCACTGAACCAGCTCCTGCCTGGCCCAAACCACATCCCAGGCTGCAGAGAAGCTGCTGCACCACAGCATGGGTATCCCACTATGTTATTTCAGCAGTAGCTGCAGCAGAAGTTTACTTTTAAGGACCACATTTGGGCCTCTGGTTTGCAAAGGCCACCTGGCCTCTCATGCCAACTACACTGAGGAATTTTTTTCCGTACTTTTTCAGTAAAACAACCTTTTCAACTCACCCTCTGGTCAGCAGATCCCACAAGCACAGGTATGGACAGTGATGGGGCTGCAGGACAGGATCTGCTGATGGAGCAAGACCACCCAGCCCACCCAGCATCACCCACCCTCCATCCCATGGGACAGCCATGGTGGGACGGGGGAGAGACGAGGAGGACAACATTAAAAATATATATATATATCTTAAGAAAAAAAAAATCTAACAAATATATCTGATATTAGAATCTTTTTTTAAAAGCCAACTGCTTTGCTCCTGCCCAACCTGGCAGTATTGCTTTGTTAAAGAAGGGGACTGTTCCTTGTCTCCTGCAGACAAATCAACCCCACCTGTTCACAAACATCAACTGCTCTCCAGTGAGGCACTGGCACAACCCCCTCCACATGTCCCCACTGTCCTCTTCAGCCTTTTTGGTTTGTCTGCTGGTTTGGCACATTCAAGGTGAAGGCTCCTGCGAGAACAAAGGCCTCGGGCTCCAGTCTGTGAAGTGCTCGTGGAGGCTTTAAGGCAAAGGAGGATCTTTTGGCCAATCTCTTCCAGGATCATGATTGTCAGAACAGGGAAATGAAGCTGGTGCAGCATCACAGGCAGTCCAGGTTGTGAGATGAGAGCAGCCACCTATGCCTGCCCTGTGGGCATGAAAGCTACATGTGGGCTGTTTATTCCTCTCATTTAAAACAAACCATATTCCTTTAATGAATGGATTTAGGATGAGGCAGAAAACCCCAAGGGTCGCCCCCTGTTTCCTGTAGGCACAGTGAGGGGCTGTGAAAGCACTGGGGTGAGGGGGGGCTTTGTGCTTTGGCACCAGGACCCCCTCGAGGCTGCTCTGTAAGGCTGGGATGCAGGGATAAGTCAGGCTTCGATGTCCACCTGTGCGAGCAGGTTGTGGGGTGTCCCCCAAAGTGGCTTCCCCAGCTGTGCCAGGGGGACCCTTCTGGAGGGGCCAGAGCCACCCACTGCTCTTACCACCACCACGATGGTACCTTGGGCTCAGCCAAAGGCTCCACCACCAGGAGAGTGTGGCTGGGCCACACTCACAGCCAGGAAAAAAACTGGCCAAGAAACTAAAAATTGTTACAATTAAAAAAAAATAAAAAAAAATAAAAGAGCGTCAAGGCTTCAGGTTCCATTCCTGGGCAGCACCACTGGCGGTGCCGGCGGCGTGGGCACGGCTTCCACCCGCAGAGGCTCCCGGCGGGGGGGACCAGCACCCTCCTCTGCCTCCAGGCCAGGGCTTCCCCATGACCCTGATCTCCTCTGGCTTGGCTCCAGGAGAGGTCTCAGGGCCGGCAGGGCTCAGTAGGGGGTCGTGCCTTCCCACTCCACCAGGTACTGCACCTTCCCCTCCAGCGTCACCCGCCGCGCCAGCACCTGGTACTTCTCCCCGCAGACAGAGCGCAGGCCGCCGAAGTAGCTGCTGAATGGAGGACTTGAGAAGAGGAGGAGACGAGTTGATAGATAGAGCTCTCAGAGGAAAGGTGTGGCTGTCGATGCCGTCGTCGGGGCGCTCGGGGCCGCCCGGGGCCTCGCTGCCCTCGGGGGTGCCCAGGGCCGGGCGCCCGCCCCCGTCCCCTCCCCTGCGCTTCGCCCCCGAGCCGTACGCCGGAGCTGCCAGTTTGCGCTTGCGGCTGCCCACGGTCCTCTGGCTGCCAGGGAGGGACAGAGCAGGGTGAGGGCGGCTCCCAAAAGGTGCCCCACACCGTGCCGGGAATTTGAGGGAGCCCAGCGAGGACTGAGGGCCCTGACCCCGCACACCCAGCAAAGCAGGGCCGCTCTGGGACCACCAGCCTGGTTTGGGACACGGGGAGCAAAGGCTGCCTGACATGGGACATCCCTGTGCCAAGACACGAGGGTGCTGTGGGGGAGAGGGTAGCCCCTCACCCTCCTGGCCATGCCACTGGGACCCCTCTGAGAGGGGGCAAAGGACACAGCCCTCACCTGGACTCATAGGAGAGGCTCGTGGTGGCCGAGCCTGAGGTGCTGGCGGCATCTGTGGAGTCCACGTCTGATAGGAATGTCTGTCCTGAGCTGGCACTGGGGATGGGATGGGATAGGATGGGATAGGATAGGAGGGGATGCAGTGTCAGCCCCAGCCTGGCACAAGCGGCACCCCTGGCCCCCCACACCCCTGGCCCAGCCCCACGGACCTTTTCAGGCTCTGGATCTCATCCAGCGTGAAGTCAAAGATGCTGGCCAGGTGGTGGTTGGTGCTCCAGGCAGAGGTGAAGTCACTCTGTGTCACAATAACAAGCTCACTCATCACTGCCTGGCAGAGGGGTGCTGCCCGTGCCCCCACCACCCCAGGAAGCGTTCCTCCGTGCCAACGCCAATACTTTCCATGGGGTAGGGGTGGGGAGGCCACGGGCAGTCCATACCCCTCCCTTGGCCCCAGCATGGGAGGCGCTGGAGATATAAGCACTTGAGGCTAGGAGGAGGCTGTATCTCCAGTGACGTGACACAAGGCTGAGCAGGAACTCACGATCCACTCATCTGTCAAATCCCAGGATGGTTGCACAGAGGAGAGGAGGAAGGACTCACACTGGGAATGGCATCCTCCAGCAGGAACTTGGCCCTCTTGCGTTTCGCCGCTCGCCGCTTGTGCTGCTGCAGCTGCCGTGGCAGGAGCCTGCAGAGAGGGGCGTGAGGGGGCAGCGGGCACGGGGCACTGCTGCAGGGGGTGCCCGGGCACACGTGGCCACTCACCCCTCCTTGTGGACACATCTGCTTTTCCCCCTCTTCTTCAGCTCGCAGGAGCCGCCCTCGCCCTCGCCGGGGCCCTTCTCCGGCAGCACCTTGGTGGGGGGGTTCGGTGGGACGCGGATCCGCAGGCGGAAGATGCATTTCTTCTTTTTGATCTCCTTCCCACACAGAAACCTGGAGGGGAGGGAACAGCCCTTAGCCGGGGGGGGGCACAGGAGCATCCTGTATCCTGCATCCCAGCCTGTCCCCTTGCCCGGGACTCACCTGCTCTTGTAGCTGTTGAGGGCGTTGAGGAGGTGGGGGCCGCGCTCTGAGACAGGGGTGCCCGTGAGCTGTGGGAGAGGGGGGTCAGGAGGGCTTGGCACTCTCTGGGGTTATACAAAATCCAAACAGATGGGGGAACCCAAACTCCGGGTTTCAGCTCCTGCCCAAGGCTGGGGAGGGAAGGATGCCAAGGCCCAGAGCTGCCTGGGTTTGGCACCTCCAGGGAGCCGACCCATCCCACTGCAGGCACAGGCTCCCAACACGCCTTGGTGTTCGTGCTCCTCCTGGCTCGGCTCCAACTGGGAAACGTGTCGGCTCTGACACCCCAACAAGGGCAATCCCAGCCCAGAGGAAGCTGATTAAGCTCATTTGGAGCAGGAACCACCCATCCCAAGTGCTGAAGGAGCTGGGGTTTGGCAGAGGTGCCCAAGCTCAGTAGCATGGGGCTGCTGGCACAGTGGCACTGCCAACACATGGGCATGTCCCTTCCCACTCTTCACCCCCTGCCCACTTCAGCCCCAGGAAAAGGCCCTCGGCTCTGCCCAGCTCAGGAGTCCCACCCTCCACCACAGACACTGCCCTCTGGGACACTGTTCTGCCA